ACGATAAGAGTATTCTCATTGCTGCTTCATAACTGTACTTTTGCTACTGTTATGAATCGGGCAACCCCTGTGAAAGAGTCATTTGACTCCCACAGGGGTTGCGACCCACAGGTTGAGAACAGCTGCTGTCAAGAGTTACAGTCTGGGAAACCCACAGGGCAGTCCCACCCTGCCCTACAAGGTTGGAATTGACTAGACGGCAGTGCCTTTGGTTTGGAGACTTTTTGAAACAATCAAACCGATCCCTTCTCACAGCAATGTCATCACCATAGCCACCTCCACGGGCTGTGTGTGCACTTTGAAGTCATTGCGAAAGCTTATACGCACTTGGTCCAGCTGACGTACCAATTCTTACAGCTCTAGTGAGGAGTGGATCGAGTTCGTGACCTGGAGACAGTCTGAAAATTCTCCATCAGCCGGAACGTGCTCTAGAAAACTCACCCACGCCAAGGGCACACAGATTCCCAGCCCTCCTGTCCATCCAGGTTTCTGTCCTCGTCAGGGGCCAAGACTCCCAAAGCAGCCCCTGGCATCTTTGTCCCTGATGGCTCTGTGACCAAAACATTTCACTGGGCTTTATGGGGGGAAGCTGTCTGACCAGCCCCAGACAACATTCATGACACAGGAATCCCCCAGAGATCCTGACTTGATCCCTGGCAAGCTCCTATGTCTGATCCCCAAATAGCTGCGCTATGGATCAACAGTGAACCCTTCATAAACTGGAGGCGTTGGTGGCGTTCACTGGCATGACTCTGAACAATTGTCCCCTGAGAAGGCCCGGCTCTCGGAAGTCATCCTGGCGCATCCTGAAACTGGGCGAGGAGAGGGGGAGATTCTGGAGGGAGAGTAATAGAGCGGTTGGCGTCCTCTTTCACCGCTGCAGATGGCTATGGGGTGTCTTGCTGGCTGTGTGGGATGCTCGCTGACCCGGCTCTCTGCCCAGCCCTTCAGAACGTCCATCAATCCGAATTCACTCCCATTCGGGAGTCGCTCAGCTCTCATTGCCAGGCCCCCGTCGGCATGGATCATTTTTCCCTATCTTCCTTTACTTCAGTGACATAAAAATTAACCTTCTGTTAAAAAGGAGCTTGTCTCCCAGGAAGTGAAGTCTTTTTTTTTTTAAACTCTTTTTTGTGGCAAACAGAAGATGTGCAGGCTGGGGAGCTGGTGTCTTTGACAGCCCGCAGGCTCCCCTTTGGAAAGACGTGCCTGCAGCCGTTCTTGTCCCCATGGTTAAGTGTTAGATCACCGGATATTGAAAGGACCACTAGCTGTGGCGAGGGTCTGCTATGGGAGACGAGCGTCTCGGTGTTCCTTCTCCATTTCCCTGGGACCCCAATCCAGGCATCTCCTGTCTGTGAAGTGGTGGAAGAATTAAGCTCTATTGTTCCACTCCTGAATGTCTCCACTTAGAGAGGGTTCTCGAGTTGGGCTTAATTCCTATATTGTATACACGTTACAGCTGCATCTGAACAGGAGCAATCGTGAGGGACAATTGCCTTGGGATGGCAAGCATCATGCCGGCTGAATCCCGGCATTCTAATGCTGTAGCACATCCTCTGCATAATGAAGAGGCCCTCTCCCCTCCTCACGCACCCTTTCATAAGACTCCTCATTCTGTGGATTTAGGAGCTCGGCGACCACCAGTGAAAATCAAATCCAAAGTTCAGAAGGAGCCGTAATCACGGCTCATAGCACAGTGTGTGGTGCTAACCACAAAGTCGGCAGTTCGAATCCACCAGCAACTCTGTGTGGGCACCAGAGGAGGCTGTCTGTCCCTGGGAAGAGTGACAGTCTCGGCGGCCCACAGGAGCCGTTCCACTCTGTCCCACACGGCCACTGTGAGTCACATGGACTCCGCGGCAGTGAGCTCGAGTGTGTTTTGTTTTGTAAAAACAGGCCCCAGGAAGAAAAGCCAGCTGGGGAGAAGTGTGGGGAGAGAAGGCCGATGCTGGAAGGAAAGAGAAGCTGCTGGGTCTGGGGTTCTGGTGGTGGGGGCAGCGGCGGGGGTTGCAGGGGAGGGGGCACACAGCAGTGGGATAGCCCCATGGCTGGCAGCCTTCAGCATGACTGGCGACCCCTGGCCAGAGTATGAGGCGTGCGTGTGCCGAGAAAACACTGAGCCTGCCCCCTGTCTTGCAGCACCCCACGGGCCTTCTTTCACCATTGGGAAAGCCATCTGGCTGCTCTGGGGCCTGGTGTTCAACAACTCCGTGCCTGTCCAGAACCCGAAAGGGACAACCAGCAAGATCATGGTGTCCGTCTGGGCCTTCTTCGCCGTCATCTTCCTGGCCAGTTACACCGCCAACCTGGCCGCCTTCATGATTCAGGAGGAATTTGTGGACCAGGTGACGGGCCTCAGTGACAAAAAGGTACGTTCTCCTCGCCTTCCGCTCGGGCTGGACTACTCTCCCCTGCAAGGGCTCCTGTCTCTCAGGCTGTCTGGTAAGGTGGAGCCCCCCCCCCCAAATGAGGGAGACCCCAAGGAGGTGAATTGATAGATACGGTAGCCAGCACAGTGGGCCCAAGCCTGCCAGGGACTGTTACACATGTGTCTTCTGGGAACCGGAGCACATACGTAGACGTCAGGCATGACCCATGTACCAGACCTGCATGGTTGTTTTCTTTATTTTTGACTTGAACTGTTCTATTGCTAAGGCATTTAGGCTCCTCAGCCCAGAAGCTTCTGGGCCTCATTTGGCAGCAGACTTTCTACGAGGTTGTTTCTTGTGTTTCTTTCACCTCCCCACGGATGTTTATGGAGGCTCTCCCGTTCATTCAAGGGCACAGGACTGTGTGGATTGGGGTTCACCCTGTCAAGGGGCAGGTGGTGTTTGGAAGGCCCAGCGCCCAGAGCACAGGAGGAGCCTGGGGCTTCTGTAGCCATCCCTCCCCTTCCCTGACCTTATGCACGTTGTCCCCGGTCAACACGGCCCTTTCAATCCCAACTGGCTAACTAAGCTGAGGACTGCAAACTTTTGACGCTCTTCATATGGGCCCTCTGTTGTTGGGCTGAATTCTGTTCCAGACCCACAGGGTGGCTGAGGGCCAGAGTCTCAGGGGTTCTACTCGTTTCTGCCTAACCATGGAAAACGGATCTACTCGGTTTGACTGAAAATTGAACCATCGGTGTGAATTTATTTCTCGACCTGGATAGTGGCTGGGACTGGAGAAGAACACGGAAAAGGGCCCGAATGGCTAGAAGGACAAGCACAGCTGTCTTGGTACGAATACAGCCAGATGTGCCTTAGAAACAAGGGTGGCGAGGCTTCATCTCACAGACTTTGGATGTGTTCTTAGGAGAGACCAGTCCCTGGAGAAGGACAGTCATGCTTGGTAAAGTAGAGGGGAAGCCAAAGAGAGTGAGACCCTCAACAAGACCCATTAACAGGGTGGCTGCAACAATGGGCCCAAACACAGCCACCCTTGGGAAGCCAGCCCGGGATGGGGAGTGTTCCCTTCTGTTGTGCATAGGGTCCCTGTGGGTCAGAACTGACTGGATGTCACCCGACAACAGCAGCCACACCTCAGTGGCCAGCACCCACCTGTCAGTTTGCCTCACTGCAGTGGCTTGCTTGGTGGTGTCCTGGTGGAAGCTCAGTCCCAGCTATTTCCAGTGACTCCCTGTGGTTTCAGTGGTGGGCAGCGCTTCCAGACAGGTTGAGGAAGATGGGCTTCGAGGACAGGCCTGGCAATCAAAGCAAACTCCTGGAAACAAGAACCAGGGAATCTATGGATTCCGAAGGAACATTGATCAGTGGACTACGGGAAGATGAACCCCCTTCGGGTTGGGGACACTCAGAATGCACAGTGGCCCCATAATGAACTTCAACAGGACCAGGAAGGTGGCTCAGGGAGAGATGAGGTTCTGTTCTGTGGGCCCTGGGGCTGACAAGACTGAGAGCCACCTTGATAGCAAGAGAACTGACAGCAGCCACCTTGCTGGGCCCACGTGTTCTCCTCTGTAAGTCTGAGATGCAGCGCTTGAGGTTGAGATGAGACGCATCCGGCAACGCCCCTCGCCGAGTGCCAGGTGCTTCGCAGCCACAGGACACTGCTGTGCATCCACTCCCTGTGGATGCAGGAAAAGAACATCACTTCCCAGAAGGCAGCCAGCCATCGGGCATGCCGTCCCAGCCGTCAGCAGCCATGGCCAGGGTTGCTCAGGCAAGAACTTGACAGACAAAGATTGCTATTGGCTACTCTTTTCCAAGACCCATAAATGCTCCATAGTTTATGGGTCTGAGTTCTGTGACCGCTTATGGGAAAATTAATTAGAATCATGAATAATTTGACTGACCTCCGACTTGCAACACCTAGTAACACAGTCCATATCCCCCAGAGAGCCTGTGGGCGTCCATGCGTGGCGCCCCCGAGGCAAGTGGTCCGCTCCTTTAATTAAACGCTGGATGACATGAAATGAAATGAACAGCAAGATTCTTGGCGTAAGTCAGCCAGACGCTTCAAGAACATTAATAGCGGGCACATCAAGAAAGCCTGTGACGTGGAAATCTATACTGAATCGATTTTGTTTAGACCGTCGACAGATGGGCTGGGTTCGTTTGGTGTATGTTTTTATTCCTCACGCACGAGCTCTGTGGCAAGGCAAGGTTTCAGTACCTGTAAGCTGCGTGCGGTGTCCGTGCTAGTTTTGACGAGACGTCTTGGGAACAGCCCAGGACCTGCTCAGGTGAGGCGGGGTGCACATTTTAAACAGGTGAATTCGTGAGTAGGTCCTCCCCCAGGAGTTATTCAATAAAGCTGGTGTCAGTGGATTTTCTTTCCCAACATCTGGAGTTGCCCCGATGGTGGAATCCATCCCTGGCAGGCAGATTAGGCCAAGGTGGTCTGAGGCTGGGCAGAGAAGCTTCTAGAAACCCCTTCCCTTTGCTGAAGGCCACGCAGTGTGAAGCTCACATCAGGAGGACCAGTATGCTTCCTAGAGACAAGTCTAGAAATAGAGGCATTTGTTGTAAACCATTTCCCTCCTTTCAACCACTGAGGACAGATGCTTTTAAGAATTGTGCAGCTTTGGTGGCGGAGTGGTTACGCATTGGGCTCCTAACCTTGAGGTAAACAGTTTGAAACCACCAGTGGCTCCAAAGGAGAAATAGG